CCCGCCAATGTATGTACTAATCAAGTCTAAGAATTGTTGCTTGACTTTCCTGCGGTGTATGATGATTTGTTAAAGGAGACTGTGATGTATGTAAAATCCCCACCCTCCCAAAAAAAGTGTACTTAAGCAGTGCTCAGCCCCTGCTCGGGGCTCTGGGCTGCTTTCCCTTCTTGAGTGGGCACGGAGCCCCAGCATGCTGGTTCAATAAATCCCCTTCTGCCAATTGCATGAGTGGTCACTTGGTGGTCTCTTTCTCCGATGTTTCGCGGGACCCTTACAGGATCATTTTTGAACAATCGTTCTGCATTTCATAAACTGAGACCCAACCTGTTCCTGGTAGTAGAGATACAAAATATAAAATTATATACATACACATATGAACACACACACACCAACATGTTTCATGCCCTCAAGGAGCACCAAGTGTCATCAGGAAGGTGGTGCTGGAGACCACTCTTGGTTAATGGGACATCCACTCACGTCCCTTTCCCTCCTTGCCTGCTTCTGTTACAGGAGCCACGAAAGATCAACACCCATCCCACGCAGCAAGGTGCAGCCATGTGACCCAGTTCTGGCCAACAAGAAATGGATGGAAGTCTGCTGGTCGGGGCTCTATAGAAATGTTTTGCTCTTCCCACCAAAGACAGATGAGGGTGGGAGCCATGACTTCCTCCATCCTGCTGCCTTGGGTGTGACTGTGATCCCTGCACCCTCATGCCACCAAGGAGCACAGGCCAGCCAAGAGCTGGGACAGCTGGCGCTGCACAAGCAGCCGAACTAATCAACTGGGGTTGGACAAAACCCGTCTCTGGACTTGCTGCCTTGTGAGAAATGGAGGCTGCTATTAGTTTACATCACTGTTAATCAAAACATTCTGCTTCTTGCAGTTGAAAACATTCATAACTTAGAGAAAAAATTACAAAGAGCAGTAGGTGTTGTAAACATGTTAAGGAAGGGCCTCTGTCTTGACCAACACAGTAGAACCTTCCATGTCCGTGTGCGCCTTACTCTGGGGAGCACTGGAAACTCTTGAGCACCCAATCACAGCAAAACTCCTTCCTCTGCTGGCGCCATTAATGTTACAAAGCTGAGATCAATGGCCAAGTGCCTAATGCCAGAGCTGTGTGAAGGAACTGTCCCCACAGGTACCTCCCAGCACACTCATTCATATTATAAGGGCAGGGCCAGCCTCACGGGCAGGCGACTCATGTAGCTCCACAGGTTCCAGCACCTACAAGTGTTCCGTGCTTGGTTTAATACTCTGCTATTAGCACCTGAAATTCTTAGTTTTTAAACACAGGGCCTCATGTTTTTGTTCCAGCCTCTGCAAATTACATAACTGGATCTGTGAAGAGATGCTAAAATATGAGTACAATAGTATCCATGATTTCACTTTCATGGTTTCAGCTAACCAAGATCTGAAAATATTAAATAGAAACTTCCAGAAATAAACAGTTCATAAGTTTTAAATGACTTTTATCATGGTATATTGTTATAATTATTCTACTTATTATGTAATATTGCTAATCTCTTACTGTACCTAATTCATAAATCAAAGTTTATCATAGGTATGTTTGGATAGGGGAAAAAACAGTATATATAGGGTTTGTTGCTAACCTGCCCACGTTTCAGACATATACTGGGGGTCTTGAAATGTATTTACTGTGGATAAGGGGCACTACTGTAGACCAAATCAGACATGTGGTACCAATTAACTCAATTTCCCTCACTTCCATCCTCATATATTTGTTGAAATATAAATTGACTTCTTCCTACTGAAGCGCATACATGGTACCCTCACATGAAAACCACACTCTCCTCATGATGCTGACTTGGCCCTGGGGGTGGTTTTTTAATATGAATGTGCAAGGATAAAGAAGCAGCTCCCTACCTTGAAAACAGCCTGTTTGACAGTTTCTTGGTCTGTAGCCTCCCTGGGAAAAAAAAACAAATAATGCTGCTGCATGACGTACCTTATTATCTAATCTCTAACTCTCTATGCTTTACAAGAGTTTGCTCAGTCTGGTAAGGAAAAATTAAACCCAAGTGAGAAAAAGAAACATACAAAGTATGAAATGTATTACTAGTTTGAAACCATGGCAAAGGAGTGAAGATCATATTTTGAGCAAAACCGCGTAAAGTTATCTGTGTATATTAGTTAGAATTCAAGTTCAGCTACTGTACCAAAGATCAAATAATAGTGGCCCAATAAGAGACATGTCTGCTTCTTTAAGTGACAGCTAAGACATAGCTGTTCAGAGATTAGTCACTGGCCCATTTATGTTACAAAGCTGAGACCCTCTGGTGACCCGTTTCCTTAGTCCTGGGGTTTAAAATGCTGGGGCTCTAGCTCCCCGCATCATGTCTACCTTCCAGGGAGAGAGAGGAGCAGAGGAGGAGCAAGGCTCACACTCCCATTTTTTGGAAATCTTTAGGTTTCTTCCAAGGCACTCTCGGTTCTCCTCCAGCCCCTGGTTGCTCCTTCTTCATCCTGGGCTCGTTCTTCCTCCTTGTTCCAGTGCCTTGGTGTGAAAGGCCCTTGAGCTCAATTCTTGGGTCTTTGCCTTGTCTCCCCACTCTGTCTACCCTCTTTCCTTTCATGGCTTCAGGGATCATCTTCATACAATGACTCCCAAATTTTTATCTCCATCCCAGAACTTTCTCCTGAACTCCAGACTCATTTATCAAGCTGCTTCCTTCACATTGCCCTAGGATGACTAGCAGGTGTGGATACCCCGACCTCCCCCTGCAGACCCGCGTGTCCTCGGCCTTCCCCATCGTCACCATCCTGGTCCTCTCCACACTGATGGCAACTTCGCCCTCATGGTCACAAGGGCCAAAAGGTGGAATTGTCTTTAAGTCATCCCTCAAACCCAACTTCTAGTCTATGAAGAAGGTTCCACAGCTTACCTAACAGACAGCCGGAATCTGATACGGCTCCCGGCTTCCCTCCAAACACCGCAGTCTGACCCTCATCTAGAGCATCACAGTAGCCTAACTGGTCCTTTCCACCTTTGTCCTCCACAGACTATTCTCCACCCAGTGGTCTGAGTAATACTTTCCAAGGCAGATCACGTGTCCCCCTCCGTTCAAAACCCTCTAAGTTCCCAACTGCGCTCAGAGTAAAGGTGGAGTCCTCGGAGTGGCTGTGAGTCCTACATGGTCAGCCCTCCCTGTCTCCATTCGTCCATGATTTTACTTCTCCTGCTCCCTTTCATCCCTCGAGGAGCTGTGCAGCCTCCTCCCTGTTCCTCAAGTGTACCGGCAAGCTCCTGCCTCGGGCCTTGGCACCAGCCGTTCCCCAGGCCTGCAAGCTCTTTTCCCAGATCAACTGTGTTTCATGCTCCCCAGATCCCCACTGACTGCTCCCAGCCTCTTCTCGCTCTCTTTTTATCCAGCACTTATCACCTTCTGACATACCATACAGTGTAGCTGTTCTTGTGTGTGTGTGTGTGTCCCCCACTTGTGATTCCCCAGAAGCAAGGATCTTGATACCTCTTATTCACTGAGGTACCCTGAGTGGCCACAGCCATTCCCGGCTTTTAGTAAGTGTTAAACAGATACTTTTAAATGAACTCATGGATGAAGCACGACCTTGCCTTGAAAGCTGCACAGGCGCCCTTTACTTCCACTCCTTCCCATTACCTGAAACCTAGTCATTCTAGAAAAAAGTCAGGAAGTATAGTTTTTAATTAAGTAATGATGTGCCTTGTCGAATCTCCCATTGCTAGAGGAATAGGAAAACTCATTTTGGGGTATAGCTCACACTCTCAATATTTTCCTAAGCAAGTGTGACTGAATAACATTTTCTACTTATGATTTGGTGGGGAGAGATTGCAAAAGTAAAAGGATGGGGCTGGGGGGGCAGCTCAGTGGCAGAGCAGATGCCTAGCATGCATAAGGCCCTGGGTTCAATCCTCAGCACTACAAAAAATAAAAATAAATAAATAAAACTAAAAATATAATAAAAGGAGATTTTAGGAAAGTTAAGAGTATGCCATAGTTAATACATATACTGACTCCTTTAATCCGAACACAAGAAAGAGATATGTACAATTTTTGCTACTTGAAAATGTTTCTCCCTGCCTTCTGTAAATAAATGCCAACGTTTAATTTTTAATTACCTAATTTATTCATTTATTTAGTACCAGTGATTGAACACAAGGGTGTTTGACCACTGAACCACATACCCAGCCCTTTTTATTTTTTAATTTTGAGACAGGGTGTCACTAGGTTGCTTATAGCCTCACTTAGTTGCTAAGGCTGGCTTTGAACTGGCAATCCTCCTGCCACAGTCTCCTGAGCTGCTAGGATTACAGGCGTGCACCACCAAGCCTGGTCAACATTTTAAGTCTGCTGGAAGCAGCGTTGGATCATTAGCCTGTCCAGGGGTCTGCAAAGTGATGTGACTGATATTCATCAATGTTGATGTGACAATTCCCTTCTCTCCTCTCTGATGACTCTCCACTCTGCCTCTCCCTGGGATTCTTCCATTACCTGATGTTAGGTGTCTTCTTTAGCTTTTTCCATTCCCTTGCTTATCTTGCTTGTGATGGCTCACTTAGGGAAACTATCCCATCTGTTGGCTGTAGAACTCACCCTGGTGCAAGTCTGCATCTTCATCTCAAGCCCCCACTGGACATTTTTTTTCCCACTTGCTTCCCCTTCAATGTCCCATTCCTGAAGTATGTAATAACCACTCCCAAATAGCTTGCCTTCACAGCATCTCCCTTCTAAGCAGGAAGGAGGGGTTAGGACCCTAAACACTGCACTCGGGTATGTCTCCCACACCCACAGGCTTTATCTAGCTGATTCCACCTTTCATTTCTCAAATGGAGTCAGCTATCAAGTTCCATCAGAAAGTCATGCCTCCAGCTAGCTTATTAGAAGATAACCTTTCCAAAAATTTAAAATCCTGACTCTGATAGAGAAATAAAAATGAACACATGTCAAAGATTTTATTTCACTCATGAAGGAATTGAGAAACTAATGTGAATCCATTTAAAAAAAATAAATAAATAAAGATTCTCATTATCAAACTCTGTTCTCAGTGAGGGCAAGTGGGTCATCATTGCCAAAAAAATAAATAAATAACAGCAGCTTCTACCTCAAGGCCTGTCCTAAGGAAGAGGGCGTGACCCTTGTCCTTGGAAAAACCCACAGAGCACTCCTAAGTACATACCCACCCCGCTGAATTGTTTGTCTGTAAATAACAGGAGAGGTCTGAGGCGCCAGGTGTCCCTGACTCAATTAGGATAGGTGAAGACCCATAGCAACCCCCTAGCAACCACCAATCAGCATGAGACAGCATACCTGGAATGCCAGATGACCCCCCAGTAGTTTATGGTGGTTGATAACATGTTGGGAAACCATGTAGTTTAGCACATACACCCCTTGTGGCCTAAACCAATCAGTTCAAAGGAATCCCTCTCTTGTATTAACCAATCACCCCTACCCAAATTGTTCCCGCCATTGAATGTGCTAATCAATGTTAAGAGTTGTTGTTTGATTTTCCTGCAGTATGGAATGATTTGCTGTGTGATGTTTTGATGCATAGAGTATCCCCCAAAACCTATAAAATCTCACTGAACAAAGGACCGGGACTCACTCCCTGGGACCGCTGCGTCGGGAATGGTTGTGAGTCCAGGCTCCAGCTTGCAATAAAGACTCTTGTGTGCTTGCATCGGATTCGGCTCCCGGAGGTCTATAGGGGTCCCACGAATCTGGCATAACAGAATCAAATAGTTGTTATGCTGTGTTCAAAAGAGATTTCTAATAGTGGATATAATATAGGTCGGGCCTACTGAAATCAACAGGCAAATGGAGACAAACTGGTTTTTCTCTTCCCTGGACAGAAATGTCCATCAATTGTACATTGTCCCAGCTTCTACAAAGAGCATCACTGGCTCCTTGTTGACTCCCACATCCACAATAAACTTCACTTCCTGCCTTTCAAGATCCTGTTTAACCCAGCATCATCCTGTTTATATCCACCTTTTATTCTAGGCAGTTCTAACATCTCCACCCCAAGCCAAGCCTAAACCTTCCCACATGCTCTTCCTGATCTTGTGGCCCTCAATCATCTATGTCCTTCTCATTCTGCTGGCTCATTTGGAGCTGTGTGTGTGCATGTTTATTATCTGAAAGCCACAAGCGACACCAATCCTTAATTACCAACGCTACCTTCACTAGACCTTGATCATGCATTCTTTCAAACATCTTCTGAGCACCTCACATAGCAACTAGGCACAATCTAGACACTAAATCTAGGAACTGAATATCCCAAGATGAAAGCCAAGGCCCCAAGATGCCTGGGGGGAGGGTGGGGCAAAGAGAATAAGGTGACTACACTTTGAGGCAGGCTCCTTTGGGAGCACAGGGAGGCACATAACCTAGTTGTGGAAGGTCAGGAAAGTTTCCTGGAAGATATGGCACTGGTCAAGCAATGAAGTAGACACAGAAAGAACTCCTTCCCATCCCCATGACAAATACCTGAGATAACCATAGGAGGAAAGACTTATTTTGGCTCATATTTTCAGAGGTTTCAGGCCATGGTCACTTGGCTCTGTCATTTTAGGCCATACCATGGCAGCAGCAATTAGTAGAAGAGATCTATTCACCTCGTGGCAATCAGGACAGAACCAGGGGCCCAATATCCCCTCAAAACCACACACCCAGTGACTAACTTCTTCCCACCAGACCCCACCTCCTAAAGGGTCCACCAACTCCCAATAGCCCCGAAGGCTGGAGGCCAGGCATTTGACACACAGGTCTTGACACACAGGCCTGGGGGGACACTCCAGGTTCAAGCCATTACATATACCCTCATAAAATTGTATAAGTCTTTTTTAAAAATTTTTTTAAGAGAGAGAGAGAGAATTTTTTAATATTTATTTTTTAGTTTTCGGTGGACACAACATCTTTATTTTATTTTTATGTGGTACTGAGGATCCAACCCAGCGCCCCGCGCATGCCAGGCGAGCGCACTACCGCTTAAGCCACATCCCCAGCCCAACTGTATAAGTCTTATTAAAATTTCTTTCTTAAAACTATCTTATGTTTACTAGATAATTAAGGATAGCAGAATATGACAACCCAAAATACATCACTTTGACATAAAGATTATTTTGAGCCAAAGGCTGTTGAAAAACAAGAAATGCAAAAGGGCTCTCTGGCCTCACCTTTTCTTTCTGAAAGTGAGTTAAAACTCACTTGTGAATGATGCTCCCCCCATGCCAGGAGGAAGAGAGCACTATGGCCAGAGACAAGGAGTCAAGCAAAGAGAAATCTGCATCATCTAACCTTGTGGAATTAATCCTATGTTCCTTTGGCTTCCATGTATATTTAATTGTTTTTCACAATGATTACTTTGTGCAACCTACAATATAAGTACTGAATTACTTTTCAGGTCCTCATTTCCCTGTGAGGTCTCCCAGGTACATGCAAATTTTTAAATAAAATTTATATGCTTTTCTCTTGTTTGTCTTATGCCAATTTAATTATAAGGCCCAGTTTAAGACCCTAAAAAATTAAGTTTTCTTACTCTTACTTTATAATGAAGTCCTTGAGGATAGGGACACTGTTATAGATACCATTTTACCCCTCGTTTTTTTAACAGAAAAACACAGTAAAAGCACCTTGAAAACTTGGGGTTTGCTGGATGATCCCACTTTAACTACATAGACGCTGGAAGTTCTAGCCAACAACCAGTCCCATCCTGCCCAGTCTTCCAGATAGGGTGATCAAATCTCTGCTCTGCCTATGTCCAACCCTCAGGCAGTGGAACAGATGTATTTCCTTGTCGCAACAGAGACTTTGGCAGTTTGCTCTCTCTGCTGATGTGTCCCTTCCCTCCACCTGCTCCCAGAGTTGAAATCAAAGATTCAGCTAAAATTATGATCAGATACTAGTTTAATATTAAAGCTGTCTTTTGTATCCCTCTTTGTGCTTTCCTGGGTTCCCAGAGTTGTATGCAGTCGTGTACTTTTTTTTAAGTGAAATTCTTAAAACGCTTTCAAAAACTAAAGCTATATTAAAAAATTAGGTCCTATTTTCAAAAACAGAATTTGGGCCAACTGCCTTACAGTGTTGCATCCTTGGACCAAATGAAAGTTCACAAGCAAGGACAGCAATAAAAATAACTCAGAGCCAGTGTCTTCCCCATCCAGTTGAGTATACTGCAACCGTGACAACGCGTCGCACTTCGCGGGTTCCCTAATAGCTTTGCAGCGCTCGCTCCGCCTCCAGGCCGCCTCTCGAGGGACGTCACATGCAGCTCCGCCCCTCTACAGAGGCCTGTCGGGACCCTAAAGCCGGGTCTAGGACCCTCCTGTCTTGGTCCCAGGGCCCACGACAATAGTTCAGTGCTCTTTTCAATACTAAGCCGGTCCCCAAAGCCGCGCGTTCCCCCAGCACCGCTCACTGTTCCAGCGCGCTCCCGCCCGGTCCAGGGCGCACCCACTCACCCCGCCCCCCGGCGCGCGCCGGCTCGTCCCAGCCGCAGCCCGGAGGCGCGCACCAGGCCGCGCGCTGAGAGCCCCGCCCCCTTGCACCTGTCCGGCTCCCATGCGCGCGCCCGGCGACCCCGGTGGACCCGCCCCCAGGCGCGCGCCGTCCCTCCCTGCGCCACGTGCTCGCTGGAGGGCGGCGCCAGGGGCAGCGCTGAAAAGATGTTCTTGCTGCCTCTTCCGGCAGCCGGGCGAGTTGCCCTCCGACGTCTGGGAGTGAGTTGTCTCCGGGGCCGGAGTCTTGCCACCGCCGACATGACGAAGGTGAGAGGCGGCAGTTGCTCCCGGGCCACCGCGGGAGGACTGCCTGCGGGCGACCTGGGTGCGGGGCAGGGCGGGCCCAGGCCGCGGCGTGTGCGGCTTCTGCGCCAAGTTACACAAATCGACTAAAATGAAAAGTTCCCTCCTTTTGCAGGATCCGCCTTGGCAGGGGCTGGGGTGGGGTCGCCGGTGCCCCCTTCCCCGGAGATTTCCCAGACTGCTGTCTTCTGATGGCGCGATCTTCCTTCTCGTCCGGGGAGTGCCGGGTTCTGAACCCTGGGCAAGAGAATATGCTGCGGCTACCATTTACCGATCGCACTTTATTGAGCCTTCTCCCTCTCACTGAGCTTCAAAAATGACATGCGCTTATTTCATTCATCATCTTTTTTTTTTTTTAGTTCTGGACGTGATCCAAGAAGGGATGGTGACATTATTGTCCCAAATGTCAGCAGAGGTCCCAGAGTCAGCCAGCCTCAGGGCCTGGGCTGCACACCAAGACCTCCTTGCTGCAGTCAAGGGTCAGAAAACAGGGTCTCTGGGAGCAATTTCCCTGAACGTGTTTCTAGAGGAAACGAGATCCTCTCTAGGGAAAGGGGCTCTGCAGAGAGACGCGTTATTTCGTGAAATTAAAAGAAAAAAGCATTTTCCAGAAGAAAAGGCTGCTCCACCTAATTGGGCCCTGAGAAATTAGAGTGATCCTTTATATTAGGCAATTCAGGTCTGAAACATCTGGAAAGAGGAGTGGCTCAGTGGAAGGGGCACAAGCTTGGGAGTTATGCCGGAGGATCAGAAAGAAATGACTCTCCCTGGTGAAGAATTCTCTAGATGGGGCTTGAGACAGGTCTCCTGGAGGTATCAACAGATGACAGAGGGACCACACATTTCTTCAGTGCTCTTTCCAATACTAAGCCTATAACAGTGACCTGTCTCCTAGGTTCTCCATTTGGTCTATGGGAGTGTGCAGTCTTAGGAAGATGAGAACCTGGCAGAGTTATCAATGCCAAGGAAAGTATATTTTCTTTGGTGAGAAAGATAGACAGGGCGGTATTTAATCTAAGTACCTATGTGGCTTTGTGGGAAGGACCAAGGACAGGAAAAAGTTATCTGGATTTTCACACAGTTCTACCATCCAGGGGCTAGTGTGTCCCACTAGATTTCATTTTCCTTATCTTGTTAAGTGGGAAATATAGTGCAATAGTGCATGCATGTTCTTTTTACCTCAGAGTGGCCCTAAGGCAAACGAAATTTTTTTTTTTATATATATAACGTCTTTGTAAAAGCGAAAAGCACTGGGTTTACTTCATTCTTTGA